TCGTAATGTTTAGATACCTATGTTATGAGTGGGTAAAAATACCACTAGTCCATATGAACTGGCCATCTTTAAGTTTGAGCTGAGGCGTTGATTATGTTTACTTAAAAGTTTTGATTTATGGCCTTGTTTATATGAGGGGGATTGTTATTGGCAATTAACTATAAACTGAGATTTATTACAGATAGCTGAGCGATGCAATCTGAATCATCATTAAACGAGCGTTCAAGCAGCAATGCATTACTCTGAAACCCGCTTCAACAGAAGATAAAGAGAAAATATCGATTAATAACTGCTGTAACTTAAGAACGAGTTTTACTTGATGACAGTGAATTCCTATTTTTCTTCATCAGTGAATCCAAGCTGTAATTGCGTACGTCACTTGCAATTTCGCTGGATGCACCGAATCGGACGAATCGAATCATTTCTATCGAGCGAAAATAACAAAAACGGTAAAACACGTACAAACCCATTTTAGATTTGCTCACTGTTGCACCCTGGGCGAAGTTGAGCAGCAAGTGGAGCAAGTTCCCTGTTGCGTGCGATGATTCTCCTCGATATTTCATCAACGGAGGCACTCGACGGAGCGACCACCAGAATCAGTCCGACTTTAGCGCTCGAGGTCAGTTTACGCTTGAAACGTATCCACAGTTTTAATGTACAATGAGAATGCTAAATGTTTAATTTTTTACAAGCTGCAGCTCTTCGAGGATCGCTAGTATGACAGTAGTTTTCCCGGTTCCTGGAGGACCCTGGACGAGTCGAATGGCGTTCTGTTTTCCCAGCACTGCATCAACACACCATTTTACCGCCTTTTCCTGTGACTGATCAAGCGTAATCGTCGTCTAAAGCGAAGCGAATTTCACATCGACCACAAATAAACCATATTTATCGTTTAGGACAAAGGAATGATCTTACAATATTGACTGATCAACCAAGGCTTCTTTGAGGAGTAGAAGGATGAACAGTTGGACTTAGCTTCTAATAAGTTTTCAGTTTATGCAAGAACTGCCATTTACAGTTGGTTCTCATACCTCACATGCTAAAAATATAGCTCGAAACAAAACGCGGAATAAGATTTTCTTACTAACTACCATTTCCCTGGGCATAAAATTCAGCGAACAAATCTCTAATGTAAATGGATAACAGGTCCATGACTCTGATTAATTGTAACTTATAATCTGGTGCTCTGAGGTAATAATAAAAGATTTCGTTAACCTTACGTTCAAACTATTGGATGAGCCGTCTTTAATGCGGTCCAGTTTAAGATAACAGTTGCATAAAAAAACTTATGGTAAAGTGGCAAACAGACTTGCAATTACAAGGAAATGATTTAACTTTGTTTCTGCATTAAGAAAGATTCCGTAACAGAATCCTTCTTGCAACACCTTGACTGCAAAAGACAAAGCCCTCTGATTAAACTATTCTGATTCCCTTCAACAGAGGAATAAAGAATAGAGGTTAAAATATAGATAAATAAAAGAAACTTATCGTCTTAAGCTAAGGATACCAAACAGCCTCTTAAAAATGGCTAATATGGGTATTATACGAGTTGACGGTAGTACGGAAAATTTTATTTATGCCGTTTCTTATATGCTTAGAGTAGGAGAGGGTGTTCTAAATTTAGAAGTTTGACTAGCAATTCTATAACGACCCTCTGAAGAAGAATAGGAACAATCCAATCTTTTAAGAAAATCAACAGATATATGCATCTTTTAAAATTAATTCTACGAGAATCCAATCTTGAAAACTGATTAGACTGCTTATGCAGTAGGGTGTTCAAGTCAAGGTTGTTCATGTTTCGTACATGACTGCTACGCACAAATTTTATGAAAGAAAAAACAATGTACCATTACAGCCAGCTAAGTATGACTGAATGCGCTGGCAATATCTATAATAAAATGTATGACGCTAATCTCGCAAAAAGCATAAAAACTAATCAGGCTCTAATAATTCTTTGCATAAGCCTTTCTGATAGTCGAGCACCATTTATTACAAAGAACAGAGCAC